CAATCTTGTCTGTGACACCTCTGACATATGGTAGTACAGCAGGCACACGCTCGACTGTGGCCGGCTTCACTCGGTCACTGTGACGTAGGCGCGGGACCCGAAGCTTGTTGTCGTGCAGAACTTGCTTGACGTGCTGAAGCTCGGCGGCCAGGTGTTTGCTGTCACAGATCCCTCGTGCTCTCTGTAACAAAGATTTGCCCACGGTAGCTAACTGTGAAGGATGGTGGTGAGATTCACCGTTTAAATATCGGTTTGTATGGGTCTTTTTCCTATACACAGTGTGACCAATGGTGTTATTAGGATTTCGGATGACTAACACATCTAGGAAAGGTAAGGAATTATTTGCCTCTAACTCCATAGTAAATTGTATTTTAGCATTTATGGAATTAAGATGTTCTAAAAATGCAGTTACTTTGTCTGATGGTAAAATTGTGAAAGTATCGTCTACGTACCGCTTGTAGATCCTTGGTGTAACAGGTGCAGTAAGGAGGGCTTTCTCCTCAAAGTCTTCCATGAATATATCGGCGACAATGGGAGATACAGGTGAGCCCATCGCCACACCATCTACTTGCTTGTAAAACTCTTCCTTCCACAATAGATAGCCAGATGTAAGGCAATGTCTTAGTAATACTGCATATTCTGCTGGCATGTTATTTTCCTCTAGTTTCCTAGTTATAATTGAGATGCAGTCTTCAACAGGTAGGCATGTAAATAGAGACTGAACATCAAAACTGACCATGGTTTCATTGTCAGTAAGATGTAGGTCTTTTATCTCACTGACAAAATGGTATGAATCCTTAGTGTGTGCTCTTGTGTGTCCTCTGAGTGGTGATAATATTTTAGCTAAACTTTAAAATTGTAATCTGACGTATCCATTATAACCGTAGAATTACCTTTATCTGCGCGGAGAATCGTAAGCTCTGGTCTGTTGCGTAAGTTTTTCAACGCGTTAAATTCATTTTTGGGGAGATTTAATTTCGGCGCTGAACTTCGACGTAACATAGACGAGATGTCTTGACGTATGTCCTCTAAATCTTCATTACCAATATTATTTTTATACAGACAGTCCTCAACACTACAGATAATGTCCTCATACGGTATTTTTCGCGGTGTTATTGCGAGTGTTAGTTAGTTAGTAGTTAGTAGAGTGTTAGTTTTAATTTTATTGATTATAGGATCCCAAGCAGGTGGTAGTACCCTAGTAAGTCTCTATTTACATGCCTACCTGTTGAAGACTGCATCTCAATTATAACTAGGAAACTAGAGGAAAATAACATGCCAGCAGAATATGCAGTATTACTAAGACATTGCCTTACATCTGGCTATCTATTGTGGAAGGAAGAGTTTTACAAGCAAGTAGATGGTGCGGCGATGGGCTCACCTGTATCTCCCATTGTCGCCGATATATTCATGGAAGACTTTGAGGAGAAAGCCCTCCTTACTGCACCTGTTACACCAAGGATCTACAAGCGGTACGTAGACGATACTTTCACAATTTTACCATCAGACAAAGTAACTGCATTTTTAGAACATCTTAATTCCATAAATGCTAAAATACAATTTACTATGGAGTTAGAGGCAAATAATTCCTTACCTTTCCTAGATGTGTTAGTCATCCGAAATCCTAATAACACCATTGGTCACACTGTGTATAGGAAAAAGACCCATACAAACCGATATTTAAACGGTGAATCTCACCACCATCCTTCACAGTTAGCTACCGTGGGCAAATCTTTGTTACAGAGAGCACGAGGGATCTGTGACAGCAAACACCTGGCCGCCGAGCTTCAGCACGTCAAGCAAGTTCTGCACGACAACAAGCTTCGGGTCCCGCGCCTACGTCACAGTGACCGAGTGAAGCCGGCCACAGTCGAGCGTGTGCCTGCTGTACTACCATATGTCAGAGGTGTCACAGACAAGATTGGCTATATCTTGAAGCGAGCTTCTATTAGAACATTCTACAAGCCGCCGAAGAAGATTAGTCAGTACCTACCATCCGTCAAGTGTCATATTCCTCTACAAGATGCAGGAGTGTACAAGCTTGATTGTGAATGTGGTCTCTCTTATATAGGACAAACCAAAAGATCAATTAGGACCCGCGTAAAAGAACATATAGCTGATGTGAAGCATCAACGTTCCGGGAAGTCTGCAGTTTGTGATCATATCCTAGACGGCCCCAACCATTACATCAGATTTGATAGACCACAAATCCTCGCGAAAGAACACCGATTCCTACCAAGGATGATACGTGAGGCTATTGAAATTAAAAAACATCCTAATTTCAATAGAGAAGGAGGCTGGGTACTACCACCTGCTTGGGATCCTATAATCAATAAAATTAAAACTAAACCCAAGCATACCACTGCAAGACCTCAGGACATATTCAGTTCATTTTGCATAGATCGGACCATAAACAATAATTAAAAAAGCTGAAGGTACTCCGGGTTTAACAATGACATCGGGACGTCAGTCATCTCAGTCCCCCGTGACCATGGGTGCTGGAAAGCGCCCGAAACGTCGGGAATTAAAAATAAAAAGTAAAAAATAAACGCGATAAAATCCGTAAAAGTAGTTTTAATCATGTTAAAAGACACTAGTAATTAATCACACTGATTCACTTTATTTCGCTCCGAAGCTTCGCTTGTCTCGCCAAATTCAATACAGCCCCGATCGCGGCTTGCAGCTCCTTTAAATACACCTTTTCCACCGAAACATCCAGAATATTCCATTAAATACGGGCGCCGACCGACCAGGCGCAGAAAGTTCAAGTGTGGGGCTTGTAGAAACCCTAATTCTTCTGTTCGATACTAGATAGCGCTGTTGATGGAAAGTTCAAGATTGACATTTTATAGGAAGCCCTCCTCGCTCTGGTCCTCGACACTAGATGGCGCTAGTGCCAGGTACCAGTTGTCAACTTAGGCGCGCAACACTGCCCCCTCCTAAGACATGCTCATCCCGAGCATTATCGGCCCCATAATAACGCGCCAGGCGATCCACATGGACGATCTTAGGAGTTCCTCTTACGCCTTTCTGTATCCGGTAGGTTACATCGTTGATCATGGTCACGATCATAGATAAATAAATATGTAGCAAGCTAGTCACGATCCGGTACAGGCCGTCCCATTTAGCTTGAAGCTTAGGAGATTTCCCTTTGCTGCAGACTGGATGGTGCAACCATACTAGTGAACCTTCGTCGAACCCTTTGTTGTTCATTTTGCGGTCATACCGGGTTTTCATCTTTTCGGACATGCTGGCCCGATTGTCTGACGTGCTCATAAATGTCATTCATTTTGTTCCGTAAGTCATTAGCATAATCGGTTATACTACGTGGGGCATCACGTGGTATCCCGTTAACCAGGTCTGCAGGCAGCCGTAATTCTCTTCCAAAGTTTGCGAAAGCTGGTGTCACTGATGTACTTTCGTGAACAGCGCTTCGATGTGACAACAAAAATGGTTGTACGAGTATATGCTTGTCCCAATCTCGTTGCCAATTGTCTACAACTTTGAGAAGTTATCTCTCCAATGTCTGATTAAATTGTTCCACCATTCCATCAGATTGCGGGTGATAAGAAGTCGTTCTTGTTTTATGAGTACCCATAACTCGACAAGTTTCCTGGAATATTTGAGACTCAAAATTCCTTACTTGGTCGCTGTGAATCTCTAAATGGTACTCCAAAACGACAGAAGACTTCATTAACTAGTTTATCTGCAGCTGTTGAAGCTTCTTGATTTGGAATGGCAAAGACTTCTGGCCACTTAGTGAAGTAATCCATCACAACCATCAAGTAATTGTTACCGCTTTCATTCTCCGGAAACGGCCCCGCCACGTCAATGGCTATTCTCTCCCATGGTGCACCAACATTGTACAACTTCAATGCACCCGTGGCCGTGGAAGGAAAAGGGGAGATTTCCCGCCGGGCAAGGTGTTCTGCTGGGGAGCGGCCAACACTCCATGTGTTAGTTCGGAGATGTTCTATATATACTGTTTATGATTCGGAATTTTGATAGCGTGATTTAGGCTTCGGTGTATTTCCTTCGGTGTGTTCCATTATTGAAATCACGCTTAAGACGTTTGCGGGCCGAAATCCGATCTTACCCCTTGAAAATATCAGTAGGTAAAGTTAGGACTAAAAAAAATTCGGTCTATATTACCGTTAAAGTGCTTCTCAAACTTTTTTATTAATTCATATTTTCCACTACTGGGCAAGGTCTCCCCAATTCGATATATCGATGGCTTAACCTGCAAACCGGCTAACTCCACTTTGAACCAAAATCATGTTTTGATATCATCGAATACGCGGGGTTGTCACCTACAGTGTGCAAAATTAAACAACTCCTAGTTTTCTAAATTACCGAGAAAATCGCATGCACGTAAATCGGACAACTCCCAACACATAAATAGCAAACACATTTAAGTGGCTAACTCCGGTGCCAGCCGCTATTTCGTACTAGAAGGCGTACCATAAAGAACTGTGTTCGAGGTGTGAGTTTATTTTTTTGTGACTGTGCGTAAATAACAGATAGTTTAACCTGAAAATAATACATGACGTTGGCGGTAAGTGACTTTATCTAAATAATGTATAATTGTTGTGAATACTCAAAATAAATACCATGATATAACCTGCAAAAGCGCGATGATGGAGTTGGCCATTTTTCATTGTGACAATTTGTTATTGATTTGGGAGTTACCAGTTTTGTGTTTTTATGTAAATTATTGTAAAAAATGATGATAGTTTAACCTGAAAATAATACATGACGTTGGCGGTAAGTGACTTTATCTAAATAATGTATAATTGTTGTGAATACTCAAAATAAATACCATGATATAACCTGCAAAAGCGCGATGATGGAGTTGGCCATTTTTCATTGTGACAATTTGTTATTGATTTGGGAGTTACCAGTTTTGTGTTTTTATGTAAATTATTGTAAAAAATGATTGAAATGAATTTTAATGGGATTATTGTTACTTATAGACAAAGAAAATGTCGAGGGCGAAAAAAATGATTGAAGCTGCTTGCAACCGAAGCAATCAAAATGACATAATATTTCTCACAAAGGAATCGATTGAAAATATGCCTGTTATACTGGCTTCCGGTTCGTCAATAATTGACACACCAGTTGATGTTGCGGCAAAATCTAATGCTATTACAGAATTGGTCATGGAAATGCAGCCACTAGCTGATGGGGCATTAACATCTGATGCTTTTACAGAAGTGATCATGGAAATGGAACCAATAGCCTATGGTTCGTCTCTGTGTTCCCGTCCGTTAACATCGGTTACTGAGGAATGCATGGAATCATCCGGACCAGCTACAACTTCACAGGCTACACCACGTTATGATAACAATGCTACCTGCATTGACAACTATCTAAGCGATGAAAGTGACTACAATATCAAACAACTTGTACCCTATTCTGAGCACTCAGATTCAAACAGTGAAGAAGAACCAAGAGGAGGTAAGAGGAGAAAAAGGTGTCAGGTTAACAAGGCAACATGGAATGAATACAAAAACAAGCTTAATCGGGAAAAGGGGAAGCAGTATACTGGGCGTAAAAAGGTTGACGGGAAATGGGAAAAAACGCTAAAGAATAAACGAGTGCTTAAACCTCGATGCAAATGTAAGACAAATGACAAAACTGCTTTAAAATGCTGTGAAATTACAGAAGATGATAGAAAAGTAATATATGAAAGGTTTTGGGGGATGACTTGGGGAGAAAAAAAGATTTTCGTGAATAGTCTTGTACAAGAGATACCTACAAAACGGCCAAGAGATAGAAAAGACCCATCTATTTCAAAGAGAAAAAGCTCAATGATTTATAACTTGCTTTTGAAAGATGAACAGCGTGTTAGAGTCTGCAAAACGATGTTTCAAAACACTTTGTGTATCACGAAAATGACCATCTGGAACTGGAAAAAAGGTAAAGAAAATACCTCTCACAATGGAAACCAAAATGTATCTGCCAGAAAAAATCCCCATGAAGAAGAGGTAGAATCACTTAAAGAGTTTTTGAACAATATACCAAAAATGGAATCCCACTATTGCCGCAAAACTACATCAAAGCTTTATTTGTTACCAGAATGGACATCAAAAAGAGCCCTGTACAAATTCTACGAAAAAGACTGGTGCGCGTCGCGGAATATTAAACCTCTGTCAATAGCAAAATTCAGCAACACTTTAGAAATTGAAAATATATCACTGTTTAAGCCGAAAAAAGATGAGTGCGAAAAATGCCTATCCCATAAACTCGGAAATATATCTGATGCAGAACTTAAGGAACATATAGACAGAAAAAATGAAGCCCGAATTGAAAAAAGAAAACGATAAAAATTCAGAAGAACTCGTATTTACGATGGACACACAAGCTGTGTTACTAGCACCTAAATCTAATGTTTCATCTCTGTATTATAAAACCAAGCTATGCACACACAATTTCTGTTTATTCAATTTGAGAAACAAAGATGGATTTAGCTATCTTTGGAATGAAACTGAAGGTGGGCTATCGTCTGACAACTTTGCAACGATAATAGTCAAGTTTATTAAAGACAAACTTCTGCCGAGCATTCACAGAGAACCTGAAAAGGATATTAAAATTATATTATACAGCGACGGATGTACAGCACAAAATAGGAACGTGGTATTGGCAAATGCTTTACTGAATGTGGCAACGTTAAACAATATTGTAATTGAGCAAAAGTATTTGGAGGTTGGCCACACCCAAATGGAGGCTGACTCTATGCATGCCACCATAGAGAGGAAGCTGAAAAATAAAATTATTCATGTGCCAGCTGAATATGTAGGAGTTTGTCTAGGAGCACGCATACATCCTAAGCCCTACAACGTATCTTACTTATCGCATGATTTTTTTAAATCCTTTGGAAGCCTACAATATTATAAATCTATTAGACCAGGAAAAGCGACAGGAGACGCTAAGGTGCCTTTAATTTTATTTATATTTGGTCTTATTATTTTATACAATTTTATTGGTATTTTTCTACAGATTTTAGTAGAAGTGTAAAAACCACATTTTACTGTGTAATTCATTAACATTATATTGTTTGTGTTCAGGTCACAGACATTCGTGCGCTGCAATATAAAAAAGGGAATATATACTTTAAGCTGAGATTCACAGATGAGTGGCAGTTACTACCACAACGATGTGATAGAAATATCACACCAACAGCGATTGAAAGCTTACCGGATCTTCATGAAAATCGGCTTAAAATTAAAAATCGTAAATTCAAAGACCTCCAGGAATTAAAATCTACAATACCGGTGGACTATAGGGACTTTTACGATAACATCCCACATGAATGAAGACTTATTAAGTAATAAAACATATAATTTTATGACAAAAATATAGTTTTTTTTTCGCCTAGTACTCAATACATCATCTAAATATAGGATTCACAGAAAAGTGGACAACTCCCATTTTTTTTATAGTTTTTAATTTTAAAATGGGCCAACTCCAAAAATCTATTAAATAGGTATGTGATCAATATATTTTTTATACCTTTCAGTTAATTCCGTATGCAAAATAAAAAAAGCACCAAATGGTATTTTGGAATCTGGATATTGTAGATATTTTATTTTTTATTGAGTTTTTTTGCCTCCCTGTAAAATTGCATAAAACGGAGTTGGCCGATTTGTAGATTAAGCCATCGATATGCACTTATATTTTTTTTGGGTATTGTTTTTATATTTTTATTTACTCGATAGGACTATTTTGAGCAACTGTTGTTAATATTTTTGTGTTGATGATGATCGAAAAAAAGACCTAAAATTTTGATGTAAAAGGACGGTAATATAACACCAACATTCAATATTTAGGGTTTAATAGTTAGTTAGTTACGCTGGTAACGGAAAGACAAGACATCGAAATTGTGACTGCTTTGTGACGACATTAACAAAAAGCTTGCAAAGTTATTCCTGGGATCCGCCCCGGTTTCACACGGGTGATTTCTGGAACTCAACAACAGCGCCACCTACCGGGCCCAATTGTGAATAATAATAATAATAATATTCCACAACCATCACACAACGCCATCTAGTCCCAAGCTAAGCAGAGCTTGTGTTATGGGTACTAGACAACTGATAAACATACTTATATATTTCTAAATACATAAATATTATAGATAAATAACACCCAGACACAGAACAAATGATCGTGCTCATCATACAAACATTTGTCCTGGGTGGGAATCGAACCCACGACCTCCGGCATAGCAGTCAGGGTCACTAACCACTAGACCAACAGGCCTGTCGAAATCTTAAAAATTCTCTAATTAAATTAAAAAAAAATCATTTATTCCTAGAAATAGAGCTACAGACCTGAACATTGGGGAAAAAAAGTGACTTACATTAAATTAATTTTAACTTATATTAAATTAAATACTAATTACATATAAATTCTTATTACATATAAAAAAGGTACTGGCGGGCCCCAAACTAGGCATAGCCTGTATCTTGGGGACCGGACTACGGTTATCAGTTTTACTTACGTAAATAAAAGTACCCAAAATTATACAGAACAACAAATTACTTCTTAATTTAGGAAGATAGTTTTTAAGTATTTGTCGCTTATATTATATTATTTATTTTTTATTCCTGGGAAAAATATGAATACAATATTTTAGTGTGAAACGTAGATATAATTTGGTATTATTTTTGCTTTAATATTAAGTTTTCGGTATCATTATAATTTAGTGTGGTGAGATATCTTTTTTACTATATTTTTAGCTTTCAAAGTGGTGCAATTTTTGATGTCACAGACTTTAAGTACTTTGTTATAAATATTAGGATGTGAGAACTGTGGAAGACGTTGCGCGAAAACAGACCTGGCAGCCGGAATTGGTATTTTAAATATTCGTTTAGTGATTAGGTTGTCGTAAATAGGCGACTGAATTACTTGCCCATGGGTTTTTAATAAACTGCGGATAGAATATACAACTGGCGTACACTCAAAACCTCACTATCCCGATAAAGAACGGCCGTAGGGTACCGGTAGGGCTTTTTATACATGACCTTGAGAACTGCTCTCTGTGCTCTCTCCAACTGCAACATCGTGGTTTTGGAGGCACCACCACAAGCTGATATACAATATTGTATTAAGGATTGGCAGAGGCCAAAATAAACCATACGAAGTGTCTTTTTATCAGCACAGTTCCTGAGCAACTTCATTATGTAAATAACCCTCTTGACTTGATTTGAGAGGTATGAGATATGCTGTTTGAACGAAAGATTGTGGTCAACAATTACACCCAAGTACCTGATCGTCTCCACTCTCGCAATACCCTCACAGTCACAATGTTGCAGAATGTCACAAGTATGGACTGGAATGTCGTTCTGGATCAACGGATTCGATGCACAAGTTTTGTGGAAACACATGTATTTGGATTTTTTCGCATTAAGTGTCAACAAACCTAGCCACTTGACCCATACCGTTCTCGGCCAGCTTTCTTACTTCTTTCCAGGATCGACCATGAAATAAGACAACGGTTTCATCTGTGTAACAAATTGTTTCACACTGAGGTATTTTGAGTTCTAGAAGGTCATTCATATATAGAACAAAGAGGGTCGGCCCGAGAATACTGCCCTGGGGCACGCCGAAGGTCACGTGAAGCTGGAAACTAATGTGATCAGGCCCTATTTGCACGCTTTGGTATCGATTAGTGAGATAGCTTTGAAACCAATTCCTAGCAGTACCGCGGATTCCAAAACCTTCGAGCTTCTTCAACAATATTTGTCTAGACACGGTGTGAAACGCCTTAGAAAGGTCCAGAAAAATACCAAGACTGCATTTACCATTATCCACCCTCGATGAAATTTGATTTATCAGCAGATTAATAGCATCCTCAGTGGACTTCCCTACCCTAAACCCAAACTGTCTATCAGAAACCAGCTTCAACTTCTCGATATACTTCAGCAGACGGATATTAACTATCTTCTCAAGAAGCTTTGAGAAGATTGTTAGGAGCAATATAGGCCTGTAATTATCCGGATTATTCTTTGGTCCAGTTTTGTAAATCGGACTTACTACCGCACACTTCCATTTGTCAGGAAATACGCCCTTACTAAGACTAAAGTTAAAAATATGAGTAAGAGGAATCAAAATTGACTCTTTAATAGATTTAATAAGAAGAGGAGTACATCCGTCAACCCCCGGCGCACTATCATTACGTAAACCCTCAATCAGCCTCTTCATTTCCAATGAATCAGTTGGTTTAAAGAAGAAAGAGTTAAGACATAAGCACTTCGCACTGCAAAGTATGGCAGTCGCTTGCTATTGGTCGAGATTGACGGACGTTAGAGGGTACACTAAACGCGTTAACTAGTCCTATTGAATGATAAGTTTATATTCACCTTTTAAAAATACGTAAAAAACTTCACTGATTGCATGCACGATAACAAGCATCACCAAAAACAAAATGCAACAGTCGATAATATGAAACTTTCTCGATACACTGATATAGATTAATCTCATGTAAGTACACTTTATCCCGTATAATTAATTTTAACAATCGGACGATTAAGAATTGCGACTGTTGAGGTCAACGAACTCGACCGTACTCCAACTTAATCACACACACAAAATTTCATAGCCGTTTGAAGGAGATCAGTTACATATACACGGACAGTAAATTAAAAACATAGAGATGACTATTTAATACTCTTATATATTTTAAAATTAAAATATAAACACAATACATGAAAATAATTTTAAATAGGTACTAAATTCCTTAAATTTTTTCATTCACATGCTGCTTCCCAATAGTCTTTCCTAAAGTTTCCGAAATAAAAATATTTTGCAATAAAATTTTATTTTTTACACATTCCCCATGCCTAAATACTACAGCCAAACATCAAGAAAGAAAAAGAAAAATTGCAATTGAAAAAGAGCAATTGCGTACTCGCAAAAAGTCTTGGAAACTGCTGTAGAAAGAGTAAGAAATAAAGAACTAACTAACTATGCTGCATCAAAACTTTACGGGTTTCCAGCATCTACCCTTAGGGCTCGAGTTAATGGTAAAACAGGTTTAAAAAGTCGTACCCTAGGAAGATCACCTGCTATACCTTTAGATATGGAAACCAAACTAGCATTAGGTCTACGTACAATGGAAAAATGGGGTTGGGCCTTATCTAAATTCTGAAGTGATTGACATAGTGGCAGAGTTTATAAAGAGAAATAAAATAAAAACTCCATTCATAAATGATATACAAGGGAACGATTGGTTTCTTTCATTCCGAAAGCGGCACAAGCTATCCATTAAAAAACCTCAACCAATGGAGTACCTCCGAAAACGTAAACGGTAAGTTTTACAAAAAAGTTTACTGGAAACAAAAGATGCGAAATTTTATTTTCTACAATAATGATTTGTTTAACTTTTGCCCTTAAGTGCATAGTTTTCGATATATCGGCTGAAAACGTTTTTTCAAGACGGCGCTTGAAGCGCCACCTGTTCATTAAATGGGCCATAAATCGTAAGCCCGTATGCGTCTGAATGTGTACTACGGGTGTAGATACGGGTACCTATGGCATAGGTACAGTCAAGTACAGTAGACGCTTTAGTACTAGCATTAGATTGCAATAGCGTGTTATAAAATCTATAATATGCAACATTGTTACTACCTTGTCAACAGATAGTCCCAAATGGCACTGTACACCTTAGAGAAGTTCGAATGTGACGGGGAGGTTGGTTCAGTCTCTGTCCGTTGGGAAAGATGGAAAAGAAGTCTAAACAATTACCTCGAAGCGGCAGGCATAGACTCCGAGACAAAGAAAAGAGCTAGCCTTTTACATTTTGGTGGTCCCGAGTTACAAGAAGTCTTCTATAATATCCCAGAAGCTAATGCAACTGAAGGCGAACTTTTTAACATCGCGATCGAAAAATTAGACAACTACTTTGCACCTAAACAGAGTAAAGTATATGAGCGACACCTGTTTCGTCTCATAAAACAGGAACAGGATGAGAAATTTCTTATCAGACTTCGACTGCAGGCAAAGAAATGTCAGTTTGGTGGAAAAGAAGACGAACATGTCATAGACCAAATAACGGAAATGGGTAAAGCAGAAGAATTCCGAAAGAAGATATTGAAAACAGGAGATAAGATCACTTTAGATGAAATAATTGCGGAAGCGAATGCATTGGAAGCCATAGATCGTCAATTAGAAAACTTTAGTACGAAACCGGTAGAAAGTCAGTCAATCAACAGAATAGGTACTGAGACATGGAAGGAGAAGCAAAAAAAAAAAGAAGATTGGAATGTAGTAGATGTGGAAGTTCCAGACATTTGGCCCGTGACAACAACTGCCCAGC